GGGGGGGGGGGTTAAATAAAGAATAAGTCGATGCCGAAATGATGAAAGCATAGGTAATTTGGGTAATAGAGCCTATGGAAATGTCACTATTAGAAGGGGTCCCTGTATTGAAAATGTTACTGTTGGGGGGGGGGGGGGATTTAAAAAAAAAATCAGTGGCGACGAATGCAAGAATGAAAAGAACGAGACAACATTGAAATTTCATTGGGGATGGGGCACAATATGAAGATCATTGAAGTCGAGGTGAGAATGATTCATTAATTGGACACTAAAAATATGAAAATATCACTTGTTAAGTGGGCTAAATGATCAGTGCAATTTGTCTGATTTTAAAAATATCTAAGTTAATAAACGAAAGAAAAAAAAAGAGGTAAAAAATGAATTGAGTGAAATGGGGTCATTATTTTTGCCTTTTAACTGAACTGAATTTAAAAAAAATGTACTTTCCATCCTGGTGACAGTGAAGTTTGTGGCCCCAACTAAGTCAACCATTTAAAAGTCTCCCCCCCCCCCCCCCCTCCCCACACACCTCCCCAACTCTGACCTTTGTTCTACATTTATCCGGCCCAATTAGGATTCTGTCGATATTAACGCATGCGCATTGTCTTTTTTCATTGCGATAATATGCTAATAAGTGGAAAAGAGCTCATGAATATTCAAAATTTTAATTTAAATATTTTGCGCGCTGCGCGCAGTCCAAAATCCCCATTTCGCTGGTGCACTAAACATTTGTCGTCTTCATAGGCTAATACACGATAAATGGAAGCAGTGTGCACTTTTGACCCTCCAAAATCTCCCCATGGCTAGACGGATGCAGAAGCGGAGTTGCACCCCCCTGTAACAATTATAGCTAGCGCGGTGCGTTGTATATAGATACTTTTTTAAATTTTAAAACCACGTATTCTTGTTATTTTTCCACTCAAAACAGAAGATACAAATCATTCACAATTTTCCGCATAATAAAATCTTTCCAAAACTAAACAATAACTATTACAATGCAACAAAAAAAAGGAAAACATGTGCAAAAGAAGTACATTATAAAGCTTTTCATTTTAGAAATGAAATTACAGTAATGTGTAGATCAATACTTTTGTTTTGAGAGGAAACAAACTGTTTTATATTATTTTCTAAGACAGATTGTTAACGGCCTAGAATGATAGGAGTTCATTCCCCCTATTAAACCTACTTTGCAGAAAACCTCGCCACCCCTACCTGGCCACCTCATTCCCCTCCCGCCCGATAATATGAACAGCCTTTGTAGCCTAATTTCCCTAAAAGGATAAAAGCATTTCTTTCACACGTGTAATGCTTATTTATTTATTTATGACTAGGCCTCGACGTCCCTAGAAAGGGAGATTGTTCTACCTTCTGAAATGATTACGTAATGTTCCGCTCCGTTGAACAAACTTATTATCGTCGTGTTTGTTTTCCAATATTTTTTTTTTTTAATATCTTGAGGGAGGCCCAAAAGGACATTTTGGGTTATGCTCATTTTATTGGAAAAGGGGTTCCTTTTGCCGTAATCCCTATGTACCAATAATTATTATTCCTCTCATTCTCTCCCTCTCTCTTTCTCTCTTTCTTGATCTCTCTACCCCCTGTCCCATATCCCCAGTATATCCTCTCTCCTCCATGCACGCTCTCTCTCTCCCCACTCCCTTCTTTCTTATAAAGTTTTTTTTGCTATATAGGCCTATACAAACTATAATTATTATCATGATCATTATTATTATCATTTTCATCAAGAATCACCAAAGTTAATATGGGAAATCCAACCTAGCAAACAATTTTCAAAGAAAACAGAAACAAAATTAGAAAATCGGACTGTCAACAGTTTGAAAATAAAAAAAGCCATGAAATTGTAAAAGTTAAAATCACAATAATACTAAGGCCTACGGGTGAACTTCAAATTCACTTAATCGGTAATGTCCAGGGGGTGGGGAGGGGGGGGGGAATTCTTTTCATGACGGGGGGGGGGGGGGGAGACGAAAAACGAGGGAAAATCTGTATTTTGTTTGAATCACGGGGTACTAAAGGAATTCAGATTTTCTACAATATTTTCTAGTACATATTGAAGAATACTATGCGAAGGAGCGATATTTTTTTTTTTTTTTTTTTTTGGGGGGGGGGGGGGGGGGGGGGGGGTGCATTTTATTATTCTAAACGCTGCACTGTTTGGCCCTCCAGAGCCTAAAAATGTGTTGCAGTCTTTAGTCAGCTCCCGAAAATTTGAAAATCGCGCCGGCCAATAATTCGGCACGGGCCCCCGCCAACCCACCCAAACCCTCCCCACTGGATCCGCCACTGACCCCCCCCCCCCCCCCCCCCCCGATGGTAACACGTTCATGCAAACATAGTACGCACGTACAACCCGAAAGTCTATACTTATCCAGGTCAGCCAACTTGGTTGTGATCTATATCGCTTTGGCCAGGTATGTACGTGCATCCACAGTAAATGTATAAAGGCCTTTATTATACAGACCATGGACTTACCTAAATCGAAAACACTTAAAATCAGGATCCTCCCATCTACCTTCGTTTTTTTTTATTACGTTTTCATAGAATGCAATATACAATGCAATATTTTTCTACATTTTCCCGTTATATTTATCGAGTTCCTAATCTTTTTGGGGGAGTTTATGTGGCTAAGTTAATATCACAGTCTTTTAGCTAGGCTTGATGTACGTGACTGGGCCGAACCGGCAAGTTACAGTTAATATATCAAGACAAAGCATGCACATCTCGACTCTATTATAATTTTTCATGTGCCCAATATACCTATTTCAAGTCTTTAAATATTGATGAATTGCCTAACAATATTTTATTAGTGATAGTTTGCAACATTGAAACATTGAAACTGGAAAGTTGACATGTGTGTATCTGCCAAATCTGCCCTTATGCCAACCCTCTCTCTCTCTCTCGCTCTCTTTCCCTGTCTCTCTCTCTGTCTCTCTCTGTCTTTCACTCCCTCTCTCTCTCTCTGTCTTTCGCTCCCTCTGTCTCTGTCTCTCCCTCTGTCTCTCTCGTCCCCTCTGTCTCTCTCTCTGGCACTCCCTCTCTCTGTCTCTTTCGCTCCCTCTCTCTCTCTCTATCAGATAGAGAGAGAGGGAGCGAAAGAGAATCTATCTGTCTATCTATCTCTCTATGTCTCTCTCCACCCCCTCTCTCTCTGTCTCTCTTCCTCTCTCTCTTTCCCCTCCTATATTTCAGGCGTGTTTCTCTTGTTTCATTGTTTTGGTATGGGGTCATGAATTTGGTTCAAATGAACATATTGGATGCATATGCGATCCTACAATATTCAGTTATCGTTGTCGAGGTCTAAATGGACTCTAAATTTATGAAATTGTAAATAATAAACACATCATGTTGTATAGCTCCCTCTCGAGGTCAAGATATTAATTAAGCTATAGCTAATACAAGCTAATTAAGCTAATACAAGAAGTGAATTGGCAGCCTCTCGTTTGATCCATTATAACAAATTATGGCAAGCAGAATGGGACAATGCAGAACACGGTAGATTTTTATATGCTTTGCATAGCGACGTTTCAAAGCCCATACATAGACAAGGCCTATCTCGCAGAGAAGAATGCTTGATACAACAACTAAGAGTAGGTAACTGTAGTTTAAATTATTACCTTTTTCAAATTAACCAACACGATATACTGGTCTTTGTGAAGTTTGTCAGGAAGATGAAACAATTAAACATTTTATTTTCTATTGTACAAAATACGACAAAGATAGACGTCTCTTAAAAGAAAGGATTAAATTGAACAACCCCAATCTGAAACAATTATTGATGTCTAACCCAATTTTTACTCGTGAATTATTGGGTTACATATACGATACTAATCGTTTTAGATAGCTTTTAAAGCTATCAGGGACCCCCTTAACTTATGTCGATCCTGTAATAATATATAAAATGAAGTATTTGCGGTTTTTCCATGAACAATTGCAACTAACTCCCATCTCGCCTTTTATGTGCATTTTATGCAATTTTAATATTGCAGCTTTTTTTTTTTTTTTTTTTTTTATTATATAAAACCATATCACTATTAATTTCATTTCACCAAGGAAAGTCGCTCGTCGGCTTGATTTCCGAAGCCCACGCCAAAGCTATACACGAAATTGACTGGCGCAAATAATCTTTGAGATTGAAGAGCGCCATCTAAACGAAGAACCAACCAACCAACCTATAAAACAATGTTTCTTGACTAAAATCGACCGATTATATATTCCCGTTCGGAAATTATAAAGCACAACTACATATTCTGAGATTTTCATGGTCGCAGCTACCATTGTACGGCCGTAGGTATGAGGCGCCGTTTGTAAAACAATTATATAGACAAATTATATGTTATATAATCATTATTTAACAAATAATAACCATTATTTACATATAATGCAAGAAAATGTACATTTTTATTTGTATATAATTCTTAACACATTTTTATTATTTATAAATAATGACAAAGAACGTTTCATTATTTATATATAATTGCCATTATTTATAAATAATTACAATTCACACTTTCATTATTTATATATAATAAAAAGCGTATTTCAATTATATAATATATAATGAAAAGCACATTTCCATTATATAATATATAATGAAAAGTCATTTCCATTATATAATATATAATGAAAAGCGTATTTCCATTATATAATATATAATGAAACGCACATGTCCATTATATAATATATAATGAAAAGCGTATTTCCATTATATAATAAATAATGAAAAGCACATTTCCATTATATAATATATAATGAAAAGCGTATTTCCATTATATAATATATAATGAAAAGCACATTCCATTATATAATATATAATGAAAAGCACATTTCAATTATATAATATATAATGAGAGGCGTATTTCCATTATATAATATATAATGAAAAGCACATTTCCATTATATAATATATAATGAACAGCGCATTTCCATTATATAATATATAATGAAAAGCGCATTTCCATTATATATTAAATAACGATTGTGTATGCAAATGTCAATGGTTGGTAACGCCCATAATATGAATATTCATGAGCTTGACTGATATTATTATCCTCTATTCCAGGCACCTTTCCATTTTGTGTTCTTTGTGCATTCTTATCAGAAATCCTACGTGCGGTAAATAAGTCTCTGTATCACCATTCTCCTTCTTATTTGTATGCAGATTTGGTTATAATGATTGATAACTGTAATCATCCTCATTATTTTAATAAGAAATTTTTCTATCTGTGATGGAAGTTTTTATGTACGATTGCCTGATCTGAAGACAAGACTTTCGCTGCATGCATATTTAATGTATGACGTCACCCACACAGAGTGAGAGCTCGAGGTTTTCTTTGAAAGGTTGATGGTGAGTACAGCTGTAATTACGTTCAAATCTCGTAAATTGAATCATATTTATAAACATATCTGCTGTAGGTATGAATCTGCTGATTTGTCTGTACATTGTGAAGTGGTTTAAAATGGTTATATCTGATGAATTTAGGAGTAATCTACACTCGAACTTTTGATTCGTTATTTATCGTCGTGAGAATATTTCAGCTCGATTGCCATCGTCACTCCTTGATCCTTGGCCCAAACTTTCGGGCGAGACCCTCTCTGAAAATAAGATACGAGTATAGGGTCTATAGGCAGATCACTTCACTAGCGCTAGCTGCATCAATGATCCAAGCTTTTTGTTACTTTTAGGTCCAACTGTTGAAAAACTACTTTCATAGTTGGGTCAGAAGAAAGTTAATAGCTAACACTAAAAAGCATGGTCACAGTTGACATGAGTTGTGAACAAGCGCCAAAATTGGACCAGATACCGAGACAGTTAGACGAGTACGAGAGTAGAAAATTTGAGGCCTAGATCTAGGCCTACAGACCAGTAAATAATTGGACTACCTGTGAACAGGCGCGGATCCAGGATTTCTTAGGGGGGGGGGCCCAAATTTGAAATTATGCAAGCCAAATATTAGTACGTAATACTAATAGTGACACCGGCAGTGGCGAAATGAGCAAAAACCGGGGGGGGGGGGGGGGGGGTAGACAAAAAAATCTGCACCACCCCACTCTTACATGCAGGTTCCGCTAAACGTTTCTCTAAGTAGGTGGGGGGGGGGGGAGGTATTTACGATCAAGTAGAGCGTTGTGAAATTGGCGTGGTGTCTAAGGGCGAAGAACCTGCGGGGGTCAAGGGGTGGAACCCCCAGAAGCTCAGGGGTATAGGCATTTGATTGCGGTCAGATGAGCATATCAGCTGCATACCTTATTTGTGACACTGGCAGGACACTAATTGGCATCACCATTCTTTCTTTCTTTATGAATGAATTTGCCATTGTCCCACAAACGCATTAAAAAGTATGATTTATTAAACATTGAGGAAAAATCTCGGAAATTATGTCATTTCAGCAACATTTGTAAATCACCGGTAATCACCGGTATCGAATTAGAAATAAACCATGTTCGAATTATATTTGGGGGGCATCTGTCACCCCTCCCCCCCCCCCAAGTCCCCTTCCCCATCAGTACGCCAGTGCCCCTCCCCCCGATCTACACGTAACTGATCTCCCCTACCTTTCTTCTTTCTCTCTTTTCTTTCCCTTTCTCTCCTATTTTCCTTTCCTCCTTTCCTTTCCCTTCCTACTCTCTGTTTTAGGTTTGCTAGGGGGAGGCAAGGGCCTTTTGGCCCCCCCCTCCCCGATCCACACATTGTTGGCGGGATTAATCGCAACTGTTCTCCCCTTCTTATCACCCTTTTCTTTTCTTCTTCCTCTTTTTTGTTCCCCGTTAGCTCTCCTCTATCCCTTTCCCTTCCTTCTCCTTTTTTTTTTTTTTGGGGGGGGGGGGGGAGAGGGAGGAGGAGGCAAGGGCCTTTGCCCCCCCCCCCCGAACTACAACTTGTTGGCGGGAAAATTACAACTGATTTCCCCCTTCTTTTCTTCTTCCTCTTTTTTCCTTCTCTTTATCCCCTCTTTACTTTTTTTCTTTCCCTTTCCTTCCTTCTCTTTTATTTTTTGAGGGGGAGAGGTTACAGCTGGGAGGCAAGGCTCTTTCGGCCCCCGATCTCCTTCTTTTCCCCCTTTTCTTTTCCTCTTCCTCTTCTTTCTTTCCCTTTCTCTCCTGTTTCCCTTCTTTTCCTTCTATCTCTCTCTCTCTTTTTATTTTTTGCGGGTGGGGGGGGGGGGGGGGGCGGCCCCCTGGATCCGTGCCTGCCTGTGAATGTGATACTCTTAGTCGTACAGAGTCTCATAGCTGTCTAACAAATTAAAACACGATCCCCCCAAATTAGACTACACTGTATACAGGGGTACGTATAGTGGTGCCTGTGTGTTTCTTAAACTCTTTGTTGGCTTAGCCTAATTTGCCTCTGCTCTAGGCTCTATCTTTGAATTTTTGTTTGCTGTAAACACGATTAAGTTTTCTCTGTCATATATAGATCTAGGTCCATATCTATTTTGCGTTTTTTCAATTTGATAGAATGAACAGTTACGAGACATGCATCTAGATCATCTAGAGACTGTAGATCAACTAGATCTGGATCAAGGAATTGAATATAAATTTCAATGTTAGATAATGAAGGAGGGCTTTTTTGGTAAAGAGAAAATCCAAAAGAGAACAGTTAATTCTGCAAATGCTCATCAATGTTTTAATGATCATGCTCATTTCCTTTTATTCTAAGAATTAAATCCCCCCCCTCTCTTTTACAGGAAAATGTATGCAGAGACTTGTCGCAGTTAATGCAGTACCAAATGCTTGCTTTCTTGGAGTATGTGCTTGAAACAAGAATGTCCTGGAGAAAATAGACCACCACAAGAGAAGGTAAACATATTTACTTTTGATCTAACTTGATCTGTTTAGTTTTTTCAAGTAAAACAAAATTTTGAATAGGTGAGGTCAAGGTCAAACTGAAGGGGATGCAAAGGGCTGGTTTGAGAAGTATGTATTCATGGGATGGCTATGTATGAATCCACATGTCTACTAACACGTTGCTGAAGTGTTTCTCTTTTTAGAATTAACATTTTAAGCTCATGTGCAGGGGGAAAAGGGGGGGGGGGTCCAATACATGAAAAGGAACGACAAGCAAAAAAACAAAAACAATTGACCTTCAAATTTTGCTGAAAAAGTAATTGTTAAAGACAACTAAAATATTAAATAGTGCTATTTATTTCAAATTTGGTTAATATTTATTGAATTGTTTATAATTCTGTTCCAGGGATTGAGAAGGAGGGCTTCCTGTTGACAGATCAGGGGGTGCCTTGAGGTTCCACTCTTGATGTTCTGCCCCTTACCTGAAAGCGATGGCCTCTTGTGCCTGACATATTAGGAGCAAAGCACAATGGACTGGTAATTAATAATGAATATTACAATGGTTTTTTTAAAATCTGGTAAAGAAACAGATAAAGTCATAGCAACTGAGCCTGTCATGGCATTTCGAGTGACCAAACATTTGCTCCTGCAACGACTGCTCAAGGCTTTATTTGTCAAATGTGTAGGGTTAGGCCGAGGGTTGCAATTGGGATTGAGGTTAGGTGTAGGGTAAGGTCTAGTGTTGGATCCCGGGATGAAGTTCAGTATTTGGATAATAGTGTAGGAAATTGATGTTAAGCAAATGTCTTGAGGAACAAGTGTCGTACAATCAGATTTTCCAGGTGCTGGTGGAGCTGTATGTATTGATACTCATCATTGGCAGTTTAAAAATCTTCCTTTGTATTAGTAAACTAAAAATACGCTGATCCCCAGTTTGTGAAACGTGTATCTGATTTTTACGACCTGCTCTATTGTTTAGTGGTTATGTTGTAACACAAAATGAATTCTTAATCTTAATCCTGGATCCATAGCTAAACGTAATATTAACCCTAAAGCTAATCTAAAACCCTATCACAACTTGAGCAATAACCATATATCTTGATGAAATAAAGCTTGTGTTAAGCATTGGCAGACCCAAAGTCAGGTTATCCTAAATTCCTTTCTACATACTGCTATTGTACAAAGTTGATATTTAAGTACATCCCATTGCAAGTTCTAAAATTTCTGTAAAAACCTTACCCTGCTGCAAGATGATAGTGTGTGAAGTAAGTTGGCTCATAGTAGAGCATGAATTATTACCTGCAATTCTCAACCAATACACCCTTGCCACCTGCAATCCATCTCACTTTCATAATATATTCTTTAAACAACATTAACTGAAGTTCAAAATTTTGAATAGTGATTAAGAAAGGCTACAAAGAATTGTATTCTTTTTTCACACTCGTATAATAGAGGGGGAGGGGGGGGGGCAGCCTAGCAGTACAAGATCAAATTATCTTATATGATTATATCCTGCAAGTGTGATAAAGAAAAATATGTTTGTGTACTAAAAGTGAAACAAAAACAAATCACTGGAAACTTTTGGTTGTTAATAACTCAAAAGTTACACTCAAATCAAAACGAGGTTTTCAAAGCTTAAAGTTTAAGGATGTAAATTCTATGTCATTTCTATGAATGCTAATTGCTATTCTTAAAGCCCCACTGTCCTACTTGCTCTCTCTATATAGAAAACTTCCCCAATCGGTGTCTGTTGGTCCCCCATGATCCTCTCTTTCTTATGTTAGTTGAGAACTGAGTTGATGAGATAGCCACCTGTCAGTGACCTGGCTGGGTGGTCTAATCCCTTCTGGCCCAGTAGTATTGACGGTCTTTAAAACAATGATCGGAATGTTTGATTAGATCTTTTACTCAGACATGTAGTATATTAGTAATAAAATACATGTTTGGCAATATGGTATTTCATTTCAGACCATAATGAGATCTGGGATCTCTCGTTGGCACGGAAAATAAGGAATGTACTCCTGTTGAGCAAACAGTGAATTTATATAAAACTAATAGCCCTTTGAAGATTACTAGAAGAAGAAAAACAACAAGAAAGAAGAAAAAGAAATATACTTGTGATGTCAGCTTTAGATCTTAAAGTGCTTGTAACAATATTGGATTTTTTTTTCTTCTTTCAATTAACATTTTATTCATGAACAGCTGGCTTATTGGAATTGGTTACAAAGATACAAGTGGACTTGTCTGTAGTAGTTGCTGAAGAGGAGCAGTCAGCACAAGGAGCGTGTGCCTCCAAAACAACGTGGGAACTTCTCCCAAGTTCATCTCAAATCACAAGGCTCTTCAGGAATCAAGATGTAACAATGGAGGTTGAGAAGGAGTTTGCGACCCTCCTGATTTGGACTACTCGCTATATACATTCTCAAACAATGGATTGTAGCACTTCTGCACAAAACTCAACAAGTCATGATTGAGGAAAATGCAACAAATACTCAGTTGAGCATTGATTTATGTGACTGGTATTAGGGTAGGATTCAGCTTGGTAATTTTATATAAACTATGTCCCAAAAGAACCTCATTGGTCCTTATGGTTCCACGCCACAAGCTGCTCCCTCCCCTGTTTCGGTATACCGAACCCAGACTATCAAGGGATCAAATGAATTAAAATCCACACTTGATTACAAATGAATTGATCTTTTGAATATTGTCATCATTTCAGGGTGGTTTTGGTTACGGGTTAGTGTGAGCTTTCTGTGCGTAAAATTGAGGGTACTTCGTGCGGAGATCAGTGAATGGATATTTCATGTACAATGCAAGAGAGATGTCTATCTTCATTGGAATTCAGGATGTGAATTCCAATGAAGATGGCTTGTTTGTAAGGAGAGAAGCAAGATAGATTGATGTAAACTTAATGACATCAGGGAATGTTTGCCTGTATTGTTTGAATGACACGGATATTGAATAACATGAAGTTAAGTGGAAAGAATGGCATAATATATTCGATTTGTACACCATCCTATTGAATTTTTTTAAAATAGCATTATATGATAACATTTGTGCACAGGTCTATGGAAAACCAGTAAGTGGCATATACAATAAGATCATTTACCGCAGCTCAAGGAATACCGTAGATATCACTTACCGTAGTTGCTGCTATTTGTGCCCACATGCATATTGATATCAAACAGTTGAAGCTAAAACTAATATAATCTAATTAACAGGGTTTTTTTCTCCAATTATCATAACAAGAGAGAAAAACATACTTTTATAATAACTTCCATTATTTCTTTATTTGATCCACGAGACCGAGTAGTCCAGCCCTTGTGAATCTGTATGTTCTCCAGATTTCATTGTCAGGGCCTATTAGGGGGGGGGGGGGGCGGATCTAGCTTTTTGCTAAGGGGGGGGGGGGGGTTGTCCCTATGACGATGCAGAGCATCGCCCACGAGCCGCATAGCGGCGAGGCGATTAACGCATTTATAAGATGGATTTTTAAATTTTTTTCTCTCTCGCTGTCTCACTGCATTATAAATTTTTCATTTTCACGACATCAACATCTCTCACCATTAAACAGTTCTCTCATTTCCTTTCCTTTCTCTTTTGCTCTCTCTCTCTCTCTGAACTCTCACGTTCTGTTTCCAGATTTTTTCCACATATGATTCCATTTATCCAACCATATATGCACACTAAAAAGAAAAGATATGAAGGGAATACTGTATATAAGATAATAAACATGTTTAATTTATTCATTTTATTACAACAAACTAATATGTTTACAGATTATAACATCGATGGTCAAATATTAAGCACAAATGACCTCATCTGCTACTTCCATTTGTAGATTACTTTTTTCTTTAAAAATTTAACAAAGCATACTTAGGCTAAATCTGAGCACTGTTTTTTTCTCCAGGGAATGTATTGTATCATGACCTGCACCCTTATTATAAAACACATTATAAAAACATGCTGATTTCTTTAAAAAAAAAAAAAAAATACCTATGACTCAATGATTGCAATTTTTTCCAGAGAAACAATAATACTGTACAATAGTATATAACATCCTTTAGTGTGATGGTTACTCCGTGGTCCACACACGCACAAAGGTATATCAGACCTTTTATTAACAGTTGCTTGTTTTATACAATATATAAATCATACTCATAGGCCCATTCCCAAATGTTATAATTATTATCAATAAACAGAAATTGATAAAAGATGACCCCTCCCCAAAACTCTTATATTCCAAAAGTTTGATCTTGTCTGACAGATGGTAACTTGAGTACTTGACTACATCTTATTTGCCCTATAGACACATACTTAAAATGGATGCCTTGGCAAAGCCTCAGTTTTATAAATGATTGACTTAGACTGCCGATGAACATATTTCTTGTGTATTTATCTACACCATTAACTTTTCTCCACATCGTGCTGTCAGATTGAGATGCTTTGGTGTGATATACTTAATGTTTTACATCATGTTTTTAATGAACTCCTACCTTGCTTAGTTATGCAGACATTGGGCCCTTTTTTTAAAACTTGCGATAGCAGTGGAAAGGATGTGCATAAAAGAAGAGGCGGGATATCCATAGTTACTACTACCATGTACTACTACAACATGGGTAAAATTGCATCATTGTATTATACCTTGGTTCCTGGTTACCTCTCCTTGGTAGTTTGAAAACTATGTTTCAGTACCGGTAATCATTGTAATAGTGTTTCTGTTTCATGGTGTCACTGGTGTGGTTGTGTGTATGAAGGCCAAATTTTCTACTTTCCTGCTTCGCCTGTCCACAATCACTAAACAATTTGAGCTGAAATACAGGGCCTTATATACAAGGTGATTAAAAAATTAAACATACTGCTTGCAAGGTGAAGTTACACGTACTGCTTGAAGAGAATTGTGAATGATATTTATCTATTGGGAGTTTGACCAAATCCAGGTTCAAAAATTTCAGCTTCGGAGGGGGGCATTACCCCTCAACCCCCCCCCCCCCCCCCCCCTGTGCGCGCTTTTGACTGATGTGTCCCCCCAGGAGTGGCGGAGCGTCTTCCAAAGTGGGGGGGGGCACCAACAAAATAGGACACTTTCTGGAAAAAAAGGGAATCTCAAAGCGAAAATATCCATTTTTTTAGACAATGGTATATACCCCTACATTGTGATTACATTTTCAGGGACGATTTCAACATTTGTTTCTCTTTATACACCATACAAGATATTGCTTAAGTATCAGTTTGGAGTGATGGTATGCAAATTGATTTGCGAGCGAGGAAAATTTTAAGTTTTGTGAGGTCGCAGTACAAAAAATTGCATCTTATTAAGAGGGAAAAACCCAATCCTGATGGGGTTATAAGCACATTCTCACAATGGAAGACTGAAAAGACCTTTAATAAGTAACGTAATTATATCATCTATAAATGCGAGCGAGCTTTGGGGGAACTTACTCTTAGTCGCTTGAAATTAGGGGCGCGTTTAATGATGAGAGGAAAAGGGGACACTACAGGGATAAGGGGAAAAGGAGCATGTGTCAGGTAAAAAGGGTAATTATCAGAGGTGAAAATAGGGCACTTCTTAGACCTACAGAAAGAGGCACTCACCAGGAATGAAAAAAGGCACTTATCAGAATGGGAATTCTCACGTGATTGGGAATACTTGATAACCCTATAGTCTTAGTTTCATTGACTAAAAACTTAAACTTTGAAAATTATATCAAAAATTCAAAAACTTAACCTTAGGTTAAGTTTTTGATGTTGACGCCGTCGCCGCCGTCACCGGAAAAGCAGCGCCTATGTCTCACTTTTTGCTCGTAGGTGAGACAAAAAGGGAGGTGCAGATTAGATTTTAATAGGGGCATTTATTGGAGGTGAAAGGGGGCTATTATGAGAATGGGGAAGTGGCTCTTATTAAAAAGAAAAAGAGGCACATGTTAAAGTAAACAAGGCACTTATGAGAGATGAAAAGGGGTAATTATGAGAAGGGTAAGGGGTACTTATGATCAGAAAAAAGAGCATTTATTAGGAAGGAAAAGGGGGCGTGTCAAATAAAAGTGGCAGTTATTAGAGACAAAATGGGACACTCATCAGAGATGAAAAGAGCACTAATCAGGAGATGGAGGGGGCACTTATCAAAAGTGAAAAGGGGCATTTCTCGTAGTTGAAAAGGGGCACTTACTAGAGATTAAAAAGGGCAGTTATGAGAATGGAAAATGAACACTTATTGCATAGAATAATGGGAACTTGTCGAAGGATAAGGGGCACTTATCAGAGGTGAAATGGGGAAGGGGCAATTTTACAAATTAATAGGGGAACTTGTCAAAGTAATATGGCACTTTACCTATGTGAAAAGGCCATAAAAGGGGCATACTGGGGGTACTTGAAAAAGTGGGGGGGGGGGGGCACTGACCCCTCCCCCCTGGCTAACAACATATCTCCGCCACTGGTTATGAAGTTTATAATACCAAGGTTTTGATACCCAGTCGCAGCTACAGCAGTTCATTGAAGAGGCTAAGTAGAACTTCATAGTCCATACTGTACATGTATGTCTGTTGAATGAAAAGAGAAGAGAATGAAAGTTAAACATTGATACCTACATCATACATGTATCTCTGTTGTAACATAAAAATGTCTTGCATGTACATTGTAGGCCTAGGCCTCAAATTTTTTCATGTGGAATCATACATAGCCATCCCATTAATACATACTTCTCAAACCAGCCCTTCGCATCCCCTCCAGCTTGGCCTTGACCTCACTCATTTCAAAATGTTGTTTTACTTGAAAAAAATAAACAGATCAAGTTAGATCAAAAGTAAAAATGTTTACCTTCTCTTGTGGTGGTCTGTTTTCTCCAGGACATTCTTGTTTCAAGCACATACTCCAAGAAAGCAAGCATTTGGTACTGCATGCATTAACTGCGACAAGACTAGTGTCTCTGTACATTTTCCTGTAAAAGAGAGGGGGGGGGGGGGGGATTTAATTCTTAGAATAAAAGGAAATGAGCATGATCATTTAAACATTGATGAGCATTTGCAGAATTAACTGTTCTATTTTAATTTGGATTTTCTCTTTACCAAAAAAGCCCTCCTTCATTATCTAACATTGAAATTTTTATTCAATTCCTTGATCCAGATCTAGTTGATCTACAGTCTCTAGATGATCTAGATGCATGTCTTGTAACTGTTCATTCTATCAAATTGAAAAAACGCAAAATAGATATGGACCTAGATCTATATATGACAGAGAAAAAAAGAGAGAGAGAGAGAGAGAGAAGGAAAAGAAGGAAAAAAGGAGAGAAAGGGAAAGAAAGAAGAGGAAGAAGAAAAGAAAATGGGGAAAAGGAGATCGGGGGGCCGAAAGGGCCTTGCCTCCCAGCTGTAACCTCTCCCCCTCCCCCCATCAAAAAATAAAAGAGAAGGAAGGAAAGGGAAAGAAAAAAAGTAAAGAGGGGATAAAGAGAAGGAAAAAAGAGGAAGAAGAAAAGAAGGGGGAAATCAGTTGCAATTTTCCCGCCAACAAGTTGTAGTTCGGGGGGGGGGGGGGGGGGCAAAGGCCCTTGCCTCCTCCTCCCTCCCCCCCCCCCTAAAAAAAAAAGGAGAAGGAAGGGAACGGGAAAGGGATAGAGGAGAGCTAAAAGGGAACAAAAAAGAGGAAAAAGAAAAGAAAAGAGAGATAAGAAGGGGAGAACAGTTGCGATTAATCCCGCCAACAATGTGTGGATCGGGGAGGGGGGGGGGAGGCCAAAAGGCCCTTGCCTCCCCCTAGCAAACCTAAAACAGAGAGTAGGAAGGGAAAGGAAAGGGAAATAGGAGAGAAAGGGAAAGAAAAAAAGAGAAAGAAGAAAGGTAGGGGAGATCAGTTACGTGTAGATCGGGGGGGGGGGGGGGGGGGGAGGGGCACTGGCGTACTGATGGGGAAGGGGACTTGGGGGGGGGGGGGTTGACAGATGCCCCCCAAATATAATTCAAACGTGGTTTATTTCTAATTCGATACCGGTGATTTACAAATGTTGCTGAAATGACATAATTTTCCGAGATTTTTCCTTAATGTTTAATAAATTATACTTTGTAATGCGTTTGTGGGACAATGGCAAATTCATAAAGAAAGAAAGAATAGTGACGCCAATTAGTGTCCTGCCAGTGTCACAAATAAGGTATGCAGCTGATATGCTCATCTGACCGCAATCAAATGCCTATACCCCTGAGCTTCTGGGGGTTCCACCCCTTGACCCCCGCAGGTTCTTCGCCCTTAGACACCACGCCAATTTCACTTAGAGAAACGTTTAGCGGAACCTGCATGAAAGAGTGGGGTGGTGCAGATTTTTTTCAAATTTGGGCTCCCCCTAAGAAATCCTGGATCCGCGCCCGTTCACAGGTAGTCCAATTATTTACTGGTCTGTAGGACTAGGCCTCAAATTTTCTACTCTCGTACTCGTCTATTAACTATCTCGGTATCTGGTCCAAATTTTGGCGCTTGTTCACAACTCATGTCAACTGTGACCATGCTTTTTAGTGTTAGCTATTAACTTTCTTCTGACCCAACTATGAAAGTAGTTTTTCAACAGTTGGACCTAAAAGTAACAAAAAGCTTGGATCATTGATGCAGCTCGCGCTAGTGAAGTGATCTGCCTATAGACCCTATAGGCCTACTCGTATCTAATTTTCAGAGAGGGTCTCGCCCGATAGTTTGGGCCAAGGATCAAGGAGTGACGATGGCAATCGAGCTGAAATATTCTCACGACAATAATTAACGAATCAAAAGTTCGAGTGTAGATTACTCCTAAATTCATCAGATATAACCATTTTAAACCACTTCACAATGTACAGACAAATAAGCAGATTCATACCTACAGCAGATATGTTTATAAATATGATTCAATTTACGAGATTTGAACGTAATTACAGCTGTACTCACCATCAACCTTTCAAAGAAAACCTCGAGCTCTCACTCTGTGTGGGTGACGTCATACATTAAATATGCATGCAGCGAAAGTCTTGTCTTCAGATCAGGCAATCGTACATAAAAACTTCCATCACAGATAGAAAAAAATTCTTATTAAAATAATGAGGATGATTACAGTTATCAATCATTATAACCAAATCTGCATACAAATAAGAAGGAGAATGGGGATACAGAGACTTATTTACCGCACGTAGGATTTCTGATAAGAATGCACAAAGAACACAAAATGGAAAGGTGCCTGGAATAGAGGATAATAATATCAGTCAAGCTCATGAATATTCATATTATGGGCGTTACCAACCATTGACATTTGCATACACAATCGTTATTTAATATATAATGGAAATGCGCTTTTCATTATATATTATATAATGGAAATGCGCTGTTCATTATATATTATATAATGGAAATGTGCTTTTCATTATATATTATATAATGGAAATACGCCTCTCATTATATATTATATAATTGAAATGTGCTTTTCATTATATATTATATAATGGAATGTGCTTTTCATTATATATTATATAATGGAAATATGCTTTTCATTATATATTATATAATGGAAATACGCTTTTCATTATATATTATATAATGGACATGTGCGTTTCATTATATATTAAATAATGGAAATACGCTTTTCATTATATATTATATAATGGAAATGACTTTTCATTATATATTATATAATGGAAATGTGTTTTTCATTATATATTATATAATTGAAATACGCTTTTTATTATATAAATAATGAAAGTGTGAATTGTAATTATTTATAAATAATGGCAATTATATATAAATAATGAAACGTTCTTTGTCATTATTTATAAATAATAAAAATGTGTTAAGAATTATATACAAATAAAAATGTACATTTTCTTGCATTATATGTAAATAATGGTTATTATTTGTTAAATAATGATTATATAACATATAATTTGTCTATATAATTGTTTTACAAACGGCGCCTCATACGTAGGAGCTATTTGAAATTTATCAAAATTTACCGGTAAGCACCTGTAAATCTTTATATTCAATATTTCTCGAAAGCAGAAGTGTTTTAGGGGCTCACATTTCTAGTGCTTTTAATACATCCACAGGGGCATCCAAATACATCAAAATAGTAAAGATTCACTATCCACCCGTTTTTCGAAATTTACCAAAACTTTGTAATACCTTTAAGATTAACTAGAAACTTCTAAGCTCACCACTATCAGCCTGTTAGAAGATGTGTATCAGCACCAGATCTCACTGAATAAACTATAATAACAATATTATTAATAATATTAATTATATTGAAAAAGTGATAAAAATATTAATAGTAATAATAATGATAATGATAACAATAACGAGAATATGCTAATTATAATAATGAAGATTCTGATAATACTAACAATTATAATGATAGTAACTATAAGAGTTATAATAGTGATATTGATAATGATGATTAAACAAAAAAATGATGATGCTGATAATAATAAAAAACCAGAAATCTCAAAATTTCTCTGGAAAATCATTAGAAAACGTTACTTTGTGTTGATTTCAGTATCATCAATCCTATCCTTGAAAACAAGTTCTTTGCCAGCAAATATTAAAAAAATAGAAAGTACAATGTCCTCCAACGTGTCAATCGATGAACAAAGAAGATCTCGAGGTTATTTTACCAGCCTTCAAAATATAAGAGGGATTCGCATTTCTCTTGAGAGAGAGAACCACTAATATCTCGAATCTACTTCTAAGGTTTAAAGTACTATTACGGTCATGGCCAAGTTCTTTTGCCAAAACGCAGAAGAAGAATGGAAACGAAATGGCGAAAAATTTGAAATAATTCGAATTGAGTTGTGAATATTTGAAATAAGAGATAACTAAATCTATGCGAATCTCAAATTGGCAGTTTGGTCAGTCGACTGTGACGTAGTCATGATCACCCGTTTGTATAGACAAACAAAATTAATTTATGTTTTTCTCTTTAGTGCCTTCTCATTAGGGGCACTAGTGTAGGCATATTATGGATAAGCCTACCTTATTTCAATATGTCCTCTAAAAGGAAAAGACCATCCTGAGGCAAAAATGTTAAGATAATTTACATTTTAATAATTTTGTGTAATGAAACAAATGGGAAAGTTGTCCGACAATACGTCACAGTGACATTAATGATTCAGCCAATTTGATGTGCCTAAACGTACTACAGGGATTACATCTGTCAAAAATTCATTACTTTCTTATTCTTTGTCCGTTATCATTCAAAATTTAACCAGCCTGCTTCTCTGATTTTGTATTGGTTCGATATTGACAAATATTCAGGCAACTGTAAACCCATGTCCTAGCATTAATGTCGATATTTATAAAATGTTAATACTGTTGTTGTTGTTGTTGCTCAGTGTTTTGTTTTGTTTTTGCTTTTTTATTCATAAAATATCTTACCAAAATGTTTAATGTTTCATCGAATTATGGAATTAAGTTGTCACATTCCCTATCACGATTCAAATCGCTTGATTTTAATTACACATGCACGCCAATTTAACACTGTAAAGGTGTCAACGTCGAGTTGTTATAACCCTGGACTGGAGATGAGAAGGTCGAGGGTTCGAGCCCATGTTCAGCATAAGTGTCCTTTGCCATAATATTAATCAACAGTTGCCACTCTTCACCCATGTATTAAATAAACACCGGTAGGTGAATGCTGCGATAACCGATATCGGTAGCCTAACAGAGCCGGAGCAGTTTGAGCACCTTGCATGGTGAATATGCGCTCTGTAAAATTATCCATTATTATCAATATTATCATCATTATTATTATTATCATCATCATTATTATTATTATTATAATTACCATTAACATTATTAATAGTAATGTAAATGTCATCTACACTTCTAGCCTTCATTCATATTAGGGCAGACGAGCTGAAAATAAGCTTGTTACCTCTTCAAATTGTTTTTATAGAGGGCCGATTGCGAAACTCTTTTGACGCAGCCTTTGAGATGAATCATGCTAATTTTATGACGAAATAAATGAAGAAAAAAAATCCTATTTATCATATCAATCAAAAAATATAAAAAATTAAATAAATAGTTTCAAATCGGCATCCTAAAGGGCGAGTCACCCTTATTCACAAAATACATTTGCAAAGGTTAGCTGACCTGGATAATTTATGAACTACAAAATAATAATCTTCATGATCTTCACTAGTTTAAAACTGCATGCGTGTCACTCATAGAACTTCACCCTGAAAAGGAAGTCAAGAGATATGAGTGAAGAGGAGTTTAAAACAGTTTTTGATGTGTGTAACCTTGTCAGATCATCTCGAGACCATCTTAGTACGATATGCTGGCAGACAAAATAATTCTAGAAGGGGGGGGGGGGGGGTAGTGTTAACTTAGAAATCAGATCACAAAAATTGTTCGCTATCCTAATCCATGATTTTCAGAGAGATGTGAGAAATATGATTTGCACTTGGACATTGATGATAACTACACCGTGGAAATCATTATTCTTTTTTAAAATAAATTACCTGTAGATGGATAAGTCGTTTACTTGACGTCGTGTGCAAAATATATAGCTTTTTCTTTTTTATCCTAAGTGCCTTCACCCTTCTGGCAATTCTTTAAAAAACATTATGAATAACATATTCTTATCGTGCTTATAGGTATTATAAAAAGAAAAGATCCCCCTGAGTCCTACGTTTTGAAAAAAAATTACACTTTAGTTATATTTGTGTTACGACAAAAAAAGGGGAACGCTGTCCGGCACTACATGACGATTATTTTACCGATTTTGTAAATTTAAAGTGCCCATAGTGATGACCACTTTTAACTATTTTACTTTCTGATTTTAGTCCAATTTCGTTTAAGCTTTCACCAGTCTGTTTATCTGATTTTCTTGTTTTCTTTTAGTCTACTCTAAGAGTAGTTGTCTATCAAAGACCCTATCCGATGAAAAAAAAAACAATTTTATATCAATGGAGACCTGATTCAAAGTAGAATACAAATATAAACGAATAACTATGACTGCCTCCCCATATTGCCAACAAACCTCATTTTCTGCACCCCTCCAAAAGAAGGATCAACAGGGGTCGGAATTGCCGTCATAACATGTGGACCCAATCGACAAGTCTATATAGCTGAGGTGATGAGCCGTAGTTAATTAGTGCACAGTCATTGTGAATATGCATACTCCAGGTGAGATGGTGTCATGAAGTCGATAGTTGTTTTTTTAGGTCGACAACTTCCGTTTTTCAAAATTTTTTATTTTGAGTTTTTGGAGGGCTGTTTCTCCCCTGACAGATGTCAACATAGTATGTAATTGATAGTATTGTAATATATGGCTTATACGCTTTTAGTTGATATATAATTCATCTATTTCAACTTTTAATCCCGACATGGTCTTTAATGTTGGATTTTCCTCTAAGCGCGACTGATTGCCCTTTTTCCCGCCCCAAGAATTAAAAAAGTGCATGTTTCTGACCCTGTATAATGTCTGGTTGTTTGCACGAAACACTCCTTCACTTTTAAATTGACTTCGACCTTTTTCATCAAACTTGTCATATTAATGACTGCTTCAACAAATATGGTGGTTGATTTGTCACGAAAATCCTCTGTAACTGAAATCCAAATAAAACTTCAAACGTTGCCATCGGATCTCAGATTACAGATCTCCCCAAGACATGAAGAAATGAGAGAGTGAGAGAAAGTGAAGTGAGAGTGTGTGCGTGTGTATGTGTGTGTGTTTGTGTGAGAGAGAGAGGAAGCGAGAGAGATAGAGAGAGACACAGAGAGAGCGGGTGAGAGAGAGAGAGAGCGGGAGAGAGAGATAGAGTAGAATGTGTATGTGTGTGTGTGTGTGTGTGTGTGTGTGTGGGGGGGGGGGGGGGGTGGGAGCATGGGACGACAAAACAAATTTACCAAAAAATAGATAATGTCATTTTTGCGCGACGGGACCAGAATACGAAAGGTTTACTAATATTATTTAGATTTTTGTTTTCCTTAATTTTTGATAATGATCCAGAGCTTTATATTTTCGTGAAAATTATCTCGGGTAATACATTCGATTAAAATTCAATGCAAGAATAACATG